TAAAACACTGGGTTGAAAACACACCTTAATCAACCACTAGAGAAAACCGAACCTACATTTCACATCATTTTTGTTTTCGAATACTAGTAAATGGAAAAAAAAAAAACTGAACTGGGCTTACAGAGAAACACAATAATCGTTGTCAATGAACAAAATTACCAACAATCAAAGAGCGATGTGTAAGCCAACACTGTCTTCACTGGGCCTAAATAAAGGCCCATCATAAACAATCCTCTATTCACTTACAAACTCTTGCTCACTGAAATGCTCTAGTTTCGCTTTTGTTCCCAATCTCATTGCTCAATACAACAATTTCTTCACCCCAGGTTTATTCTATAACGTAACTTTAAGTTATTTTATGCTAAATTTAATCACACTTGCTGAAGCATGATGAGTGATAAACCTGATAATTATGAGTAGACAATCTTTAAAACAAATAGTACAAGAGAAACAATAATATACACATTTTTTTCCTTTTGTTTTGTCTCTTCACAACACACTGAACATAGACTCTTTCATAAAAGTATATAAACCACACTAGACACAAACTGAGTGTTACTTCACTCTTTGGTCTTATGGTTAAATAGCTAAAAGCAAGCTAGGCAACGAACCACGAGCCAAGTCCCTCGGTACGCTCTCCCAAACCGTACAACGTCCCATGTCCCAACCTATTGGACCAAGACTGTAATCCGTAACAGTTAACCATGTGTTGAAATACTCTCTTAGCTCAGTGACCACTCCATCTTTCAACTTCCACACGTGAACCCAGTACACGTGTGAACCTTCCCACCCTTCTGCGATCACACAGCCATGACCAGACGCTAGTACTTGTACACTGCTTGGCTCAAACCTGAACGAAACCTGGCTCGGTGGTTCCCCTGTTAGTAGCCTCATCATGTGTTGACAATGGTGCGGTCCGTGGAACCACCATTCGACATCACTGGCCACAAGTTTGGCCACCGTTGAGGCGTCACCTTGCTGCAAAGCTCTGTAGAGTAACTCAATGGTTCCACGGTCTTTCATTTCAGGGGTAAGTGTTGTCAAAAGCTCTACGTTGTGTGCTTCCATTAGTGAATTTAGTTTTCCAAACTTAGAACAGGATATGTTTTGAAGAGAGAGGTCTTGTGTTTGGTCTGGCTTTTCTGTCTATTAGTTTTTAGTCCGTTTTATAGTAAATAGGAGTCCTCGGTACTAACCACAAAGGGTCATTTGTTAACGTGGTTCCTTTTCCAACCGTCGTCTTCTTTAAGTTTATTTATTTATTTATGACTAGTGTTTATCTTTCTTTTGTCGGTGATAAATCGAAATAATATAGGTCATTTTTCTTTTCACTAAAATCCTAAAGTTAGATCAGATTTTAATGTTTGGTTTTTTTAATGTTTGGTTTGTAGGTTTGGGATTTTAGCCGATCATATATCAACAAAAAGCAAAGGTTTTTAGCCGAGGTACTTTTAAGCATCTTATCTTATCTTCTAGCCGAGGTATTAAATTTGAACTTATATGGTCTTATGGTGTTTGACTACCAAATACTCCTATTATGATACTAATGTTGACTTACCGATCCCATAATGTCCACACATAACTTTTTCGCTGGTAGGCGTAGTTTTCAGGTATTTCCAAGTTCCTTATTCCCGAGTATGCTTCTATTTTTCAACTTGAATAGCTTTCAAATTTCAATAAAATATTTAAACATAACCTCTGTTTTTAAAATTATTTCGCTAAAAAAAACATTTTGTTCATAAACCAACCGCTAACAAATTATAAATCGTTTTGTATTGACGATGATTCGAGTAAGTAAGTAACTAAGTATACTTAGTTCTTAGTTAGAACCTGAACCAGATGCATCCGAGTTTTTGTTGTCTCTAGTGAAACAATCAGAATATGTCTCAATCTTCCCACTAGATTCGTCCCATTATTGTTGTGAGTGAGCCAGCCAATAGCAATTGAATTAACAACGTTTTAGTCGGTTTAATTAGTGATATAACCTTTTTGTGTTAGAAAAACATTTTTCTTCATATCTTGAAAAAACTATATGTAGTAGTGTCTGATTCTGGATGCCTTGTGGTTCATTGTGAAAACTGAAGAGAGACATTTTCAAGGGCTAAACTAAACTTTACAAAAATTATAAAATTTGCCAGATGACTGACG